GTTAAAAAATATATTAACTACATTTTTAATTTATATTTTAAAGACATAAATTAAAAATAATTATATATATAAAAGAGTATCATGTAAACTCAATAAGAATCTTAGTGCGCAAGCACTCCTATTTGCGTTACCCCACTTCATTAGGAAAAAAAAAAATTATTAAAAGGTACACTCCCCGAGTGCTGCCAAGTGTAGTTAATATCTCGCAAGACAAGATAATAGTCAAGGAGGCCTTTGAAACTCTAATGCAATCAAATTATTTGTCTAATTTATATTTTTAGAATGTAATTATTTTATTTTTTATGTTAATTATTGTTAAAAAATAAAAAAATATTATTGACTTTATTATTATTGTTATATAAATAATTTCAATTAAATAATTCTTTAAATAAAAATTAATTTTTATTTTTTTTAATAATAATAAAAAAATATTATAATTACATTTTTAACATATACTTAAAAGCACTAATTAAAAAATTCCTTTCTTGACCAAAGAAAAAAATGACATTTCGTTGTTTTTTTTTTTTGTAATTTTTTTTTTTAAACATTTTTACAATGAAACCGATAGAACCATTGCTCTTGAAACATTGCTCTTGAAAGAAAGAAAAATAAACCTTCAAATATGAGTAAAATCACTTGACCAATAGGACAGATTCTTTTTTCTTTGTAGTATTACATTCCTTAATTTATGGAAATTTTATGGAATTTATATAGAGTTGACTAACATATTTTCTCGCACGTCTGTTGAATTAATTTTCCCGTTGAAGGTTAAACGCATTTATATGACAATAATCAATTACCAAATCAGACTTCCACCAAAGATGAATCCAATTAATTTTTTTTTAATGGAAAAGCGTCTGTAATTGGGCCTTTAAAAAAATAAAAAGGAAAAGTGTTTTAAAATTACACCGCATCTCTTGTTAAATAAAATTAAAATAACATATTTTGAAATTAAAATAAGAGATTTATATATATAAATTATACATATTATATTTATATAAAATTTTTATTATTTATTTTTTAATTTTTTAATAATTGAGATTTATCATAATTTTTATATAAAAATATGTATTTTTAATAAATATAAATAAATTTTATTTATTAAAAATAAAATGATAAATAATTAAAATTTTATATATAATACATAAAATTTATATATAAACAAATTTTTATAAAAAAAGAAAGAACAAACTAAAACAAAAAAAAATAAATAAAAAAAAACCTAAAAAATATGTGTTTTAATAAAAGTTTATTGAAAAAAATAAAATATTCTAATTATTTTTAAAATCTTGGATTTTGCAGCAAGGAATACGGAAGATTTTCCAATATGAGGAATAAAGAGGCCCAGGGCCCAGCCTTTTTCTTCCCCCCATGTCAATTTCTCGATCAAAAGGCAGATGAAAAGAGGTGATGGGCCCACCTGATGCTTATCAGCAACAATCAATTGCCGATCGTGTACTTCTTTTTTTTTTTTCCTTCACACGAGAGAGAAAGAGATGCATAATTTTATTCGCTGCTGACCGTTGGATGATTGATTACTTTAGTGGACGACGGTGATGCTGATTCGTCGGGAGCTCCTGTGGACCTGCGGTGCACGGAGAGGCGCACACAGAGGGCTGCTTTTCTGCTTTGAATTTATGGTGTTGTGGACTTTGTTTACAGGGAAAAAAACCAAACCCCCAGATTTTTTGATTTTTCTGACGTTCCTGAATTCCCCGCAACATTTAATTAATGGACACTTGCGTCCCACGAAATCAAAGTTGACCCAATTTTCCATTTTTAACACTAATATTACCGCTTCACAACACCCAATATCCGCTTACTTATTCTCCTCAAGATGCTCGTGCAACACAACCGCCTCTCACTTCAATAAAAAATTAAAAATAGTCAATGCACCTCCTGTCTTGACTTTCCTTTTCAAGGGTGCATGCATCACACACCACGGCAAGGTTCATATGGTTCAATCTTTTGAAATGTTCCATTGCCTATTTTCAATTTTTTTTTATTGCACGATACGAAATAATCATTTTTCATCTTTTATCTCACCCATTTGTATATCATTTGATTCAAATTCAAAATTTTTTATTTTCAATGAAAATAGATAATCATTAATCTATTTAAATCGTTGAAAAAAAATATCTTTTGAAATGTCATTTTATTTAATTTTGTTGGCACATAATGTTATTTTATTTAGGATCTATTTGGTACAGTGGTTAAAATTCAATGAATAGCGGATAGCAGGTAACAGATAGTTGATAGCAATAGTGGGTAGCAGGTGACGGGTAGCGAGTGACGGTTAGTGGATAGCGGATAACCGAGAGCGGAAAGTAGGTAGTGTATAGTAAATAACAGATTCGATAAATATAACTATTTGGTTATACAATAATTAGTAATTATTGTTTAACATTAAATGATTAATAAGGATATGTTTAAAAACAAATATATGTATTTTTTAAAATATTTTTATTTTTTATTATTAAAATTATTAATTTTATAAAAATAATAATAAATAAATAAAATTAATTATAATAATGTAATTATACCCTCATTTTTATTTTTAAAAAAGAAAAAATTATATTATTTTTAAATAAAAATTAATCATTTTGTCTAATTAACAAATTTTATTTTTTAAAATAATATATTTTTTAATTATAAATTAATGTACAAAAAAATATTATAATCACTTAATTTTAGTAAAGGTAAAAAAAATTGAAATTTATTAGATAATTATTAATAAAAAATGTTACCACAAATTAAAAAATTAAAATGGATAAATTTTTCAATAAAATTAAAAAATTTTAATTTGCTAACAGTTTGGTACAAAAAATTATATAAATTAGCTTTTTTAATCTGCTAACGATTTGGACCATAACCACTATCCGCTAGTTTCAAACCGTTAAATAAAAATTTTACCAAACACTTGATTTATAACAGATTCGAAATATATAAATTTATCAAATATTTATATTTAACGGTTTAAGTAAAATCACTAACCGCTATACCAAACAAGCTCTTAATGTTCTTTACACTTCACGTAATACCTAGAAAAATTGCTGGTTTTTTTTATTTCTAAATATTATAATTAATTATTTAAAAAATTATAAATTAATAAAATTAAAGATAAAATTAGTGATTTTAACAAAATTATTAGTGATTGTAACTTTAGTAATTCATTAGAAAAATAAAGATTAAAAATGTAAGTATTATATTTTTTAATCATTAAATCTTATAAAATTAAAAAAAATTGATATTAATATTAATATCACGTATATTATTTTAATTAATTAATTTTTATTTTTTATATAATTTAATAATTAAAAATATAATACTTACATTTTTAATGTGTAAAATATGAGTTAAAAATAAAAATATTACAATTATAATATTTTATAACATTATAAATTTATAATATCATATATCATTATAAAATTAATTTTTTTAAAATTTATTTATAATATTATATTTATACTTATTTAATGTCACGTTAAAATTTATAACATTATATTTATAAAAAAATTATAATTTTATAATTTTTTATAATATAATAATAACTATAATATTATGGTTAAAAAAATCCTAATATAAATACGCATCATACCGATTTTATTCGAACAAAAACAGGCGGTGTTGAGTAATTGCTCAAAATGCGCGTATAAAGATTACCTGTAATTCGCCAATTATATCAGTGGTAAAAAGAGAAAACAAAAAAAACAAAAAAAAAGCAGAAGACGACAAAAGACAGCAAAAAGAATAGTGAGAAATTAAACGGGAGAAAGGCCATAATCGCCATTTCAAAAAATGTAAAATTTTTAAGGTTCACATCTCTCTGTCTCTTCTTTCTCTCTCATAACTGAAAAGGACTGCGAGCAACCTGTGGTCTCCCTCTGTTACTCTGTATATATATTTTCCTTTTTCTTTTTTTTTCCTTCTTCTCTCTCTCCTTTTTTTTTTTAAATATATATATTTATACACCGACTCGGAAACTGTCACTCTCTACGTCTTCTCTCTCTCTCTTTCTCCCCTCATCTTCCGCCTTCAACAATGGTAGATCTTCAGACTGTTTGTTGCATGTGCGGCGACGTCGGCTTCTCCGACAAGCTCTTTCGCTGCAACAAATGCCGCAACCGCTTCCAGCACTCGTATGTGCGCCCCCTTCTCCTTCCCAATATTTACAATCACATCCATATATGGCAATCATCATAATCACCAGTACCATATGTGTTTAAATTTATTATGCGCATATATATATATATATAAACATAGATTATACATCTATATATATACAGCTAGTTAGTCGCATGATCATTATCATTTTCATAGGTGTATGTATGTGCATAACATTCCTTACATCATCAATCATCATAATTATATCCTTGATAGTTACCCGTAACTGAATTCATCCGCGAATTTCGCGTGAATACACACTCCACCAAGCGCAACGACCACCACACAAGCATCAGGTTTCCCTTTCATCATCATCATCTTCATCTTCATCTTCTTCACCTTCTTCTATATATCATGTATTCTTTTTATTGATTTCCTGATATTTCATGGAATTTTGTTATATTTTATGGCTGAAATTAGGAGCGAAATTAAGTTTTCTTGTTTATATATGTTATGTAGGTATTGTAGCAACTACTACAGCGAGTTTGCGGAGCCGATCAGGCTGTGCGATTGGTGCCAGAGCGAGGAAAGAAACACGAGACACGGGAGCTCTTCTAAGAAATTGTCGGCAGGCAACGACGCCGGAATTACAAATAGATCCGAGTATTCTGGCGACAAAATCAAGCAACACGATCGGGAAGAGAGCGCCACCGAGAAGCAGGGAAAGAGTAGCGGAACGCCGTCTCCCCGGCCAACAACTCGCAGGTACAAGCTTCTCAAGGACGTGATGTGCTAGGTATTTAATTACCGGTAATTAGAAAAAAAAAAAAAAAAACTCCTTTTCGTGTGTTTATATATTTAGAACTTAATTAGTCAGATGTTCTTGATGATGTGTTTTTGCTTTTGAGTTTGATCATATGGTTTTCAGTAAGTTGTTGATAAAATAATGTAACTTTGGCACAAGTTTTAAAGCTTTTTTTGTTTTTTTTCTCTCCTCTTCCATCCATATATTTTGTCTTCGTAGAAATAATTTTAGCCTGAAAGATGATCAAGTTTGAGCCAAATATTAATTGAATTAACCGTCTAATTAATTAGCAGAAAAATTTATATAAGGAAGTTAAGATTGATTTGGTTAATTAAGAGTATAAATATATATATATATATATATATAACAAGTCAATAGCTAGTTAAAATTGATGAGTAGTCTTGTTATCAATTATAAAAACCTCATGCTTGGTATATAAATAAATAAATATATATATCCTAACTGTTGATAATAATTTGCTTGTATGTCGCCAGCTAGTTATATGGTTGATCATCGCAGCCAACTTAATTAAACTCGGTTGGTTAGTTATCGTTAAAATAATTTTGATAATTCCAAATTTTAATTAAAAATCATTATAAAAATTAAGAAAAAAAAAAAAAAAAAACTTAAACTCAGTTAATTGACAATATATAGAATAACTTATCATATTATATTTTAAGAATGCATATTTCTTCTTAATATTTAACTTGTATGATTGTTTACTGTTAATTAGAAGACTCTAGTTTGATATGGGGAGAGGAGAGTGAACAAGTCGAGGGTTTGTGTGTGGGCTGGGATAGCAGGGTTCTTGGGAGGGGAGATGCAGGTAGATAGCTTGTTCATTCGGTTTGTTTGTTGAGTCACTTGGGGGAGAATTGAATGCAGGACTTAATGGGTTGTCTTTTGGCTAAAGAATTCATCATAGTACCTAAAGCTGCAAATTTTTACTGCACATTCATTGAAGGCCTTTAATAGCTAGGCCCTCCAGCTCCACTATTATTTCCTGAGGCCATTCATTCAAGCACTCAATATTTCTTCCCTACACATACTTGTGTTTGTACTAGCTAGGGTGTTGACTGACCCGTTGTTGTATGTATATATCTCCCAAGTACAGAAGCTGATAAGGTGTCTTTCACTGTATCTGTTTTGGCCATTTATGACAAACCAACAAAACACTCATCTTATTGGGTCTCATCAAATTATCAATTACATTTCTTTTATTTTCACTTCCTTTTTTGGGGTTTTTTTTTTTTTTTTTTCATTCAATAATTTGGATTTTAATTTTATGGTGTTATATATAGCATATCTTTGTTCTCCTGTTTTCTTTCTCTTACACTAGTTTATCTGGCCCTTTCATGTGAGCCTGATTTTAAGGTGAAAGAAACTGACTATATATAAATAAGACCCAATGGCGGTCTCCATCTGTCGACACTTACTTCCCTTTCCAAAATTACTATCTTCACAGTCACATGGTCTGCTGCTCTCCTTATCCCACTTGCAAGAAAACTCCTTAATTAATGTAATCTTTGTTCACTAACAAGCATGTGACTGTTACTTAATCATATCTTCAATTAGTAGTGTATGTGTATTTGATGTGTGCCGGTGTATAAAGCTTAATCGATATTCAATTAGTTTTCTGTGAAGGAAGAATTGACTTGTACCCATCAGATTTTGTTTACGTGATCGGTTGTGTAGTACGAATTCTTTTGTGCCTAACTTTTATCATAGTTGCGAGTAAAAAACTCTATAGTTATTGGAGCACCATAAAAGATTTTAAAAAAAAAAATGGGATTGCACGTAGTTTAGTTGAACTACAAATACTTAAATCTTTTAATTTCTTGCATCCTCGTTAGAGTTTAGTCGACTTGGGATTAT